TATAAATAAAAACAAGTAATTGGATTATATATATATATATACATATATATATATATATATGTGTGTGTGTGTGGGGGGGGGGTCAGGGTGTGTGTTGGGGTGTGTGTATGTATGGGTGTATGTGTAGTTGTATGTATGTATGTATATAAATGTCATTTCTGACCTCTTTTTGGACAAAACATTGCAATAGTTCAAATAGCAACATGCATATCTTGAACAATTTGAGGCCAAAACTAGATGTCCATGACCAATGGTTATAGAGGTATGGACATGCTATAGGGTCCTTTGTGTCAAAGTTCAAAAATATCATTTCCGGTCACTTTTAGAAAAAAATGTTGCATTAGTGCAAATAGAGATATATATTCCGAACAAGGCTTAAACTTAGGTCTTTATGACCAACGGTTAAGGAGATTTAAATATCCTGCAGGGTACCTAGGGTCAAAGTTTATAAACTTTATTTCCGGTCACTTTAGGGCAACATGTTGCATAATAGGAACATGCATGTTCTGAAACACCAAAATTAGGTCTCTGTGGCCAACCGGTTTTTGAGATATGGATATGCTGGATATCTAGGGTCAAAGGTCAGAAATGCCTTTCCGGTCACTTTTTGGCAAAATATTACATTAGAGCAAATAGAAACATGCATCTTCTGAACATTTTGAGACTGAAACTATGACTAACAGTTTTGGAGATATAGATATGCTGGTTCATGTAGGCTTAAAGGTCAAAAGTGCCATTTCTGATCACTTTTGGACAAAATGCTACATTAGAACAAATAGCAACATGTATGTTCCCAACAATTTGAGACCAAAACTAAGTCTGTACGATTTTCCATTGCCAAGATATATGGATCCCGTCTTTTAGAGGCGGTCATTTTAAATTGAAAATGGCGGCCATAGCAGGTGTCAGAAACTTGGCACACACATTTTTTTTAATTCACACATATTAAAGATATTTTGTGCCAAGTTTCATGCTTTGGTAAGAAAGTGCACAACTTGACCCTTAGCTGCTCTACTAAAATGTGCAACTTAGCTGTTCTACTATAGCAGTTTTTTTGTTTTGAAATTTGTGGTTATTTTTACATTTGTAGTAGATTTTTACATTTGTGGGCTCTACAAACCCCAAACTCGTCTCGAAAGGTGTACTAAGTTCCATTACCAGAACCATAAGCGCTAATAATAATAGTGACGATGTTGATGATGATGATGATGATGATGATGATGATGCTATCATAAAACAGCTGAAAAGTGAAAATAAGTTTGTTTGAAAGTTAATCAATTAGCAAAGATGAAAACATGTTAATTACACTATTTATAAAAAATTAACGAAACAAGGAAATAAAATGTTTAGAACATAAATACTTCATGACTGAATATTACTGACTAAAAACGACCCATAAATATATGATATAACATAAATAGCACTTGTATCGCTGTAAGCGATAGATTGTTTTTGTAAAACAACAATAGGCCTATTAAGAATATTATGCAGTTGCAATGATGTAAATCACAGACGAGTACAGGGTAATTTGTTGATGAAGAAATGTTGGTGAAGAGTATAGGGATCATAACGTAAGTTAAAGTGAGTTAATAATGTGTACCATCCATAAACAAAATTAGTATAAGTACGCCTCTAAACAGTTTTGGTTATAATGTACAGCAGAATATGGTAGCCTATACGTACTTCTCTACACCACATCGGTCGCGAATGTCACTACTCATGATCCAAAGCAGTTAGGTTATCCTCAGGAAAGGTCATTCAGTGCAATCGTTTAAAATGTACGCTAGGCAAGATATGATCTTTTAATTTAATTTTTTTTCAGCTTGTACTTGCATCTTTGGCTCCGTATACACTTTGAAATAAGTTGATTTGTACATCCTTGATTCAATTGGAAGCTATATATAGCTTACCTGATTATAATTAGACATATCTTATATTTCATAGATACTGGAATCAGCGACGACTGCTCCGAAAGCAGTACGACAGATTACAAAACGAGGGTCCGCCACCAATTGACGGCGTACAGGTTCGATATGACGCATTCGTCTCCTACAACAGCAAAGACGTTGATTGGGTACTCAAATCAGCCCTGCCGACACTGGAAGGTCCCGAGTTCAATTTTCGTCTTTGCGTTGACTTCCGGGATTTTGTAGTTGGCGGAGCAATCGCTGACAATATTTCTGATGCTATTAAGTATAGTCGTAAAATGCTGATAGTTGTCACCAAGAACTTTGCTAAGAGTGAATGGTGTTACTTTGAAATGGAAATGGCAAGGACCCGTATGTTTGACAATTACGAGGACATTTTTGTGGCTGTAATTTTACAGCATGTGGCGAGTAGAAATATGCCAACATTACTTCAGAGGATCTTGAGAAAGAAGACCTACATCGAATGGACTGAAAATCCAGATGGTCAGAAGGTGTTTTGGACACGTTTGGCAGCTGCTTTAAATACCCCAAATGCTCATCATGATCGTCTTATTAAGTAAAAATACTTTGCAGAACTCTATTACGTATCGCCTAACAAACGTGTTATTTTCTCATTTTCTTACTTATAATTAATTACCTAATAATAAGTGTCGTAATAATAATGTAATATAATAATTGTAACATTTAATATTTTGCCTGAGCTAAATGCATTATACCCGGAATAATGTTCTGTTTTAGTTTTACTGTTTTCCTTCTTTCCTGAACAACAAAAAAGGAAACTACAATAAATTAAACGGGGAAGCAATAAGTAGAAAAAAGGGAATGAAAATGAAACTAAATGAGATAAGAGTGAAGGAAAATGAGTTTTTCAAATATAGATGATTTAAAAAAGAATCTTTAACAGATTGTGGCGCCGCACCCCTTCTTTTCTGGGCGTCCCATACTTTTTGGACGCATAGATAATTTTCGGGACGTTTAGTTAGTTGCTTTAGTTGATCAAAGACTACGTTATTTGTGATGTGCAGATTATTTATGTATGGACTCTTGCCTAAGTTGTATAGCGTTTATGTGCTTTAATTGGTAATTATTAAAATTCTTCAGCTTTTGAACCTTAAATAATGTATTATTTAAGCCTATACCAAAAGTAAAGATCTCATTATTACTATTATTATTATTATTATTATTATTATTATTATTATTATTATTATTATTATTATTATTATTATTATTATCGTCATTATTTTTATATATACATTTTTTAAATATTAATATTATATTACTAAAAAGGTTAAGGGATTATACAAATATAAAATCATGTTCTTATTATTATTATTAATATTATTATTATTATTATTATTATTATTATTATTATTATTATCAAGGGTCACTATGAGACAAGGCCTGCCTTCCAATTGTGATCCTAACAATGGCTTGTTTCCCTTTTCTCTTACAACATACAACTGTTTCCATATCATTGTTGAAGAAAGTTATTATTATTATTATTACTTCGTTTGTCATCACACATTAATTCATCGTTTACATTTGCTCCCTGATTGTCGAACAACACATGTTTCCTGCATCTTCAATTGCAGCGCCGAATAATTCGAGCAGGTATGTAGAATGTGCAGTTCTGCTTCTTTTTTTTTTTTTTTTTTTTTT